ATTAAAGCATGAAGAAGAGGATGGTTTTGGCGAAGGCATCCCTCTTAGCAGCAGGATACATAGGGGGATATCGGAATTTTAAGGTCGGTCACTGCCTTTACTTCAAAAGCTCAAAAATAGCTGCTACTGGGGAGAAACCTGTTTGATGCCAACTTTTAATTTTCATTATCTGGAGACAGTACGAGGTGAGATTTTCCTTGGCTCTTTGGCCCTCTCCCTCTGGCTTCAAGCATGAGATTGAAATTCTTTTGCCTTGTATACAGGAAATATGGCCCTGTGTAATGTTGAGCACAGTGGCTATGGCTATACATAGTGTTTTATCTTTTGTTTTGTTCTGCCAACTATGTCCATTGGTGGGGATTGGATTCTCACCATGCCAACCAGGAAGGAATCAAATTCAATACAAACCCTTACCTTTTGCTTTTATTCCCTATTCTTAAACAGAATTAGGGAAGAAGATGAACGGATGTCATGTGACAAATATTTATTGAGCAAATGATCGTTTTAATGGATGTAACAAATCGATTTTATAATGGATTCATTTTAGACACGTAAAATAAAATTATAGTTTAAACGTTTTGTGTATAGGTATAATGTTAAAATTAGTCCCCAACATTTATCAAAATGGTCATTTTGGTCTCTATTCTTTTTTTTTGTGGAACATTTTAACTCTCAATGTTTCATTTTAGGGCAAAAAGAACCTTAATGTTTGATCAAATAATTACTTTGGTCATTATTCTTTTTTTTCTAGAGCATTATAATCATTAACTTTTCATTTTAAGGAAAAAAGTTCATTAACAAAATGAACATTTTGTGAACTAACGATATTCATTTGCACATGAGACTTTTTGTCACAAAATGAAACATAGGAACTAAAATGATTCCAAAAAAAGAATATGTATTGAAACATTATTTAGTCAAACGATAGGAACAATTTTCTAACATTATGCGTTGTTTATAATTGAGCTTAAAAAAGTTTTGAGAGAACTTGAGCAATACGTAAGTCAAATGTGAGTCGTAACTCGTAACCCAATAAGGACTCGTAAAATAAACAAGTGGCTTTATGAACCGAAAACATGGAAGATATGACCAATACTGGGAAAACGAAACTAAAACAAGTGCATCCTAAATCTGAGGGGGGATGGGCTTGAGGAGCCTAGCTGATTGGAGCAAAGCTTGCTGTTTAATGCTTATCAAGAGCATCCTTGCTGGGGAAGGGTCTTTATGGATTGCTTGGATCAAGATTTACTGTTTTAAGTCAGCTGATTTTTGGACTGTTGTTAATAAATCACATTTCGGCTGGATTCTAAGCAAATTGATTAAAATGAGGGAGGAGGCTAGTGTTCTCTTCGGTCCTGTGACTGCTTTATCTCAGATCAAGGGCAGGTGAATATGGGATAGCATCCGAATAAGTAGAGAAAAAGTTGCATGGCACAGACTCATCTGGTTCCCTGCGCATGTCCCTAAGTTCTCCCTTATTGCTTGGATGGTTCTACTTGATAGGCTGCCTACTAAAGACGGACTTATCAGGTTTGGAATTGCGGTTGGAAACAATGTGTGTGGGTTGTGTGGGGTTGGTCATGAATCTCGCAATCATCTCTTCCTTGAATGTCCCTTTGCGAGCGAGATATGGCAAGCTATTATGTGTGCTTGTGATTTGCAGCATCAGTTGCTGGAGTGCTGGGATGATGAGGTATGCTGGATGGTTCAACACTTTAAAGGGAAGTCCCTTTTAATCCAAAACTCTCTTCTTTATAAAATTTCATTCTTTTTTTGCAGGTCGAGAAAACTTTTGATTAGAACCGGACAGTGTTTTCTTTTAAATGGCTTTATTTTCTTAGGAAGGTTATTTACTTATTTCTATTTTTGCTTGTTTTTATTTTGATTATTTTCAACCTTCTTGCCAGTTTGTTTTTCCTAAACTCGGTTGTTATCCCAATACTACAATGGATATTGCCTGATCAAAGGTCTCTGACCAGTTGTGAACAAATTCCTGCATTTGATGGTGACTTGAAATTTTATGCCTTCTTACGTGGTTTCCTCATTCAATTGTTTTATGTAAGTGGTTCCATTCATATAACGTGAACTGTTCGAATTTATGGCATTGGATTTGTTTTCTGCATTTAGATTTAGGATAAACTTCAGGTCCTAATGTTTGGTTTAATGGAATATCAGTGATTTGTATTTGATGCAAATATCCATCCTGGTTAGTGGTTACTACACCTCTCTCCTGCAAATCCACATGCTTTTCCAATTTATCGTGTCAATGGTTGTTGCTACTTCGACCACGATCACCTCCTAAATAACCATTTATATACATTATCCCCACTGTTATCTGTGGATCTGGAATTGCATGCTATCGGTACAACCAGCATAACTGGCACAGCTGTCCCATTCTCCGAAATCCGATGTCCATTAATCTAAGTCGCAGCATTGGCATCATTGGCTCATTGCTGAGAAGATAGCTTTTCTTGAGCAATGCGTGTGATAATTGAAAGGCTTTTGCTGAGAAGATATCCATTAATCTAAGCTCGTTAATCATTAAATTCGATGCTCGTTGTTCGTATCGTTGCTCGTTGTTCGTATCGTTGCTCGTTGCTTGCCTCGTTGCTCATTAAGCTCAATGCTCGTTGCTTGTCTCATTGCTCATTAAGCTCATTGAAATTTTTATCTTATTTTCCTAACTATAGGTAAAATCTACTAATACACTATACATAATTTAATATAAACATAAATTAATAAATTTAACCACAAGAGTGTATCAAGCATTTTCAAAGTCTAAATTTAGCCAAGTATTAGGACACGTGTACCGACTTATCTTTCCTAAAATGACAACTTTTAGCTCAACTAAAAGACTAATTTGTTGCGGAATTTACGGCATACAATTTCCCAAAAAAAAAATTATGTGCCGAATGTTCTTCACTTCTTTAATTTAGAATTTAGGCCAAACTACCACGACGGTCATTTTATTTAGTTTTCTTCTGATTTTGATCATTAAAGTTTGTAAAATAATATTTTAGTCTTTTACATTGTTAATTTATTATATTTTAATCATTGAGTCGTTAACTTCTATTGTATTTTAAAAATCTCTGAGTCTATTTCATTCTCTATAAACCTTGGTTGTTGTCATTCAATATCAACACTATCCAACGTAGCTTTCGGTCAACGAGAGCGTAGATCGAGAGCCTTCGTTCTCCTCTTCTCATTTCTTAGATCAGATTTCTCTTGAAACAATTAGAACCCTCTAAATCTCATCAAACACTTTAAATGATTTTCATGCAACGATAACAAAATCCATCGTCTGATGAGCTCTCTATTGAGTTTTTTTCTTCCTTCACCAACGTCTATCTTGTCATCGTTCGAATTATACTTCTATTGTTTAAAACATTTCAAACCTTGAACTCATATTTTCATGTGTCATGATATTCAAAGTAACTTATCTTTACCTTTCCTTGAGTCTCCACTAATTCGATTATTGCCACCATCATCTAGGACACGTTTGTTTTGTGATTTTTTTTCACTTCATTTTCAAAGAGAGGGTGAGGGTTAAATTGATATTTTATTTAAAATTTAACTATTTTCGTTAAACTATTATGTCATCAATATAAGTATTTTTAACGATTTAACGATTAAAATATAATAAAGGGTAAACTATGCGAATAGTCCCCTATGTTTTCTGTTTGACTGAATTTGGTCACCAATTTAAAAATTAAGAGAAAATGATCCCTAACGTTATCGATCCGTTCGATTCTAGTCCCTCAACCGTTAACTTCTATCCAGTTAACTTCTATCCAGTTTTAGTCCCTCAACCATGTTAAGGCCTTAAAAAAAAGGGGTTAACGGAAATTAATAACAGAGAGACTTAAACCGAATGGACCGATAACGTGAGAGACCGTTTACCTTTAATTTTAAATTGGTGATCAAAGTCGGTCTGACCCTAAACAAAAGGGACTATTCGCATAGTTTACCTATAACAAATTAAAAAATTTAATGGTAAAGAATCAAATAAAGTTGGCATCTAAGTTCACTTTCTTTAGACAAAATTATTTGATGGAAGTGGATAAAAGTTGAAATTTGTCAGATATAAAAGCGAGACTAACGCATTAATGGATTCCAACAACTATATGGGACTATTTATTTTACTTATTTGCTGTATTAAAATTGCCCAATCTTAAACTTAGAGGGTTATTGCATTTCATGTCGACTGCTGACTCTCTATAATCAGATGTGGCCAAATTAATTCAGAGGCTTAATAACAATCTTGATATACTCAGAATTATTTAAGGTTTCGCCTTCTTCTTCTTATATTTATATGGGTTAACTCTAAGATACGTCCTTAAATAATTGTTAAATTTCAGATTATATTCTATTTTGCAATTAATATCGCATCTGAATTCACTTTTAACATCAAGACTGATGATTAATATAGTGTTGATAATTTAAGATTGTAATTGAATCGTTTTAAGATTTATACGCCAATTTAAGAGTTTATTTAATCTGAATAATTTTATTTTACAATGATCATCATACTAATTTAAATTTATTTTATTTTAAAATAATGGCATTAACACACTTCTGAAGGAACATGCTTTCTGGATCTCTTTGAAACTTGAGAATAAAAGAGAGGGTAAATAGGAACTTTAAATATATACTTTTTTTTTTGACGTGAATTATGATAGATTAATCTAGAGATGAATCGAGTCGGAAGGAAGTATAATAATGAGATTTCTTTAACAAAAATAGCACACTGCAAATCAAATAATAAAAACCCTTGTAACAATCAACACGAAACAAATATCCTCCTATACAAAACAGCTCTGTTTCTCTCATTACTGTTCCCTATGGTGTCCCCTAGGACCACAAACACAGATTACAAACTCAGACTTCATAAACCAAAATCAAAAAGGGACAAAACAATACTAACCAAGCAATCTGCTCATCACAACCTTCACGTATTCAATTTCTCGAGGGAAAAGGAAATAAATCCAAGGCAGTCAATCATTGAGAATTATTAGGGTCTTGCTCATCTCCACTATCTGTACCTTGAGACTGGTGCTGTTGTTGTTGATGATGATGATGTTCGAGTGGATTATTTTGGTCCGAATTAATGTTCGGACCACCTCTAGAGTAGGCATTAAGAGCGGCCAACATGCCTAAATTAGTGTCGGACATACCTAAACCGAGGTGATGAGGAGGGTGTTGTTGTTGCTGCTGCTGCATTAACATTGAACCCATTTGTAAAGGACTAGCTCTACTACCTTGGAATTCAAGGTTACCTGGAAGATTAAATCTTGGTAGAAAATGCAATGGCGCTTGCATTGTGTTCCCACTTGCTGTTCCAAACGGCCACATCTGAGGCTGATTAGATGAATCAGCCCCGGATGCAGTCGGAACCATTGATGGGCCACTGGTGCCAGCGGTGGTCATTGGCAACATCCAAAATGTACTTCCGGAACCACTGGTTGGTGCTGGTGTTACCGCCCACATGGCAGTAGCAGGTAGGATATCTTGTTGTGGTGGTGGTGGTTTAGGCAGTTGATTTAAACCAGTTTTAAAGGCCTTAATGGGAGAACCATCTCCGTTGCCACCTCCGCCATCACCACCAGTTTCGCCTTGTTGCTGATTATCATCCTTAAACAAATCCTCTCTGAAACGTTTCCTCATAAAATTCTCGCTTAAATTCCCACCATCTCCACCACCGCCTCCGGGTAAAGCTTCGGCTATTTGATCTGCCGTTAAAGGATGCTGTTGTTGTTGTTGTTGTTGCTGCTGCAGCTGCTGCTGATGGTGAAAACCCAACAAAGCGCTACGGGCGAACCCTTCTTCATAAGGGTGGTGAGAAGACAAAGCTAAAGCGCCATGTAAGGAGTGAGGAGCAGATTTTGAAGGTGGAGCTGAAAGCGTGGAACCACTGCTTCTTAAAGAAATATTAAGAGTTGAAAAATTGGCTGGTATAGTACCAGTTCCTGTAGCTGCTATTATTGCCGGTTCAGCTTGTTGTAAAAGCCACTCGATTGTTTCCCCGTCAGATTTATTACCTAATTCCCTAGTGAGTTGAAAAACCCTAGCCGCACAAGTAGCTGGCATTCTGATACGGCGGCCTCGACCATCGACTTTGGTATGTCTGTCCTTGGTGGAGCGTTTCGCCGGAGGGTTAGCTGCAGTCGTCGTGGTTTCCGTCGTACATGAGAGTGTCGAGCTCGTTTGATTCTTGGAAGTAGATCTGGTGGCAATAGCGAGAGAGGCGTCAACAAGCTGAGGGGGTGGGTTCTGTGCAGTGGTGGAAGAAGAAGAGGGGAGAGGCGGCGTTGTGGTGGTGGAGCGAAGAAGAAGATGATGGAGTTGAGAGATGGAGCCCATATTAAAAGGGTTACCAGAAGGACCTGAAGATCGGGTGCCATCTAAAGGGACCTCAAAGGGAGGAGTTGCCGACTGTTTTAGATGTTGCAGGTGCTGCTGGGATTCTTCCGAATTGTTCTTGTTTTTCTTCTTCTTGTTGGTTTGCTTATTGATTTGCAAATCCATTTGGTGGGGTTTTCGGAAGAGGTTGTTTATTTTTTTTATAGTAAAATGTGTTTTTCCATCATCAATCCTCTTCTTATTTTGTTTCTTAATTCTCTCTTATTTTATCTTTGCAGAGTCTGGACTCTGAGTTTGTGGGGTTTGTTTTGCTTTTTGATTGATTGTGTTGAGAACTAAAGATGTACGGTCGGTTCACAGGCCCGCCCTAAGCCTTGGAGCCTGGCTAACCAAACCAGGTGGGGAACCTTCGGTTCTACGTGTGAACATGGCCCACCCATATGCCAGAAGTCCACTCGTGGGGTCTCGTACAGACATGAAAATAGGGTTAAACAGCAAAGCAAGTTAAGTCGAATAAATTTTTCTGAGTTACTTTAATAGATGAGTTTTATATAATTTATAAAATTTAAATAGAGTTAAATTATTTAAATTTAATTATAAATATTTATGATGTTATATTATTAATTGATTATAATTTAAACTATTTCATATGAATATATATTTCCTCATACATGGTATATATACATCAAAATTGAGAGACTTAACTCAAATTTAAAATTAATTCATTAATTATTAAAAAAATTGAATTATTACCAACATAGTTAATCTAATGAGATGTGATATTAAATGTTTTAAACAAGATCTGTGTTTTAAATTCTGATGTTTGTGAATTGAATAAATTAGATTGAGAGAGTCACCCTCATAATAAATTTGCAAAACCTAGACTAAATTATTGATTAATAGATCGATTGTATTATTTATAATATTTTAGATTATAATTAAAATTATTATAAATTATATTTTTTTATAAACTCTACTATCGTAATATAACTTTTCTTATTACAACGAAAAATATTATAAATGTATATAACCCTTTAAATTAAATATAATAATATTTTAAATTAATTTTAAATTTGATCGGCCTGGCCATCCAAATCTTTCCCTTTTCGTTTAGAAAGTTTATTTATAAAATAAATCTAGAATACCCGATCAAACCTTGGGTTCTTTTTAGCAAAGACGGTCGACATTGTGGACAACACAGTCTTTCAATCACTTGTTTTTTCAGACAGAAACTGATGTGTCCTGCCCAGATCATTATCTGAATATACTTCCAAGACATTTTAACCTAGTCCTCGATTTTTAAACATAAACAAACAAAAACCTCATTTTCACCGTGTAATTTTCACCAACTTACCGACATTTTTGCAGTAAAAGTACAGGACAAAAAAAAACCCTGCAGTTTGGGGTGGGGTCTTTTCTTGACTTGGTTTCCAAATTACAGCAGCAGTTACGGAAGGACAAAAAACGAAAAGGGTAAAAACGAAAAAATGTTTAATTCACTGTGATGGTAAAAAAAAAGTTTACAGCGTGGCGCAGGTAAACATCAGATAATGAAGCATCTAATGCAGTCAGACAGCTCATCACACATTCTTTATATAAAATAATATATTGGATTATTGCTGTCAATATGGGCACCCCAACCTTATAATAAGCTGCTGCCCACTTATTTTTGCTGAAATGACCAAGTTGCCATCCCTTTACATTCTATAAAAGATGCCAATTGTACACACGTGAAAGAATACAGATTATTCAATATGGATAATCGGACTAAATATTTATATTTCAACCTAATGAGTTATAGGAACAAGTAATTGCATATTTTGCAAGTACACGTCTAGAGTATATTTGGGTTTAATATAATCATCGTAAGGCATTTTTTATGGGAATAAATTAGTTTCATAGTTTATGAATAATTTATCTATTCTGATTTAGACGAAAAATTATGGTTATGAACGATGAAGAAGACGATACAAATTGGGTTATAGAAGTGATAAGGGTGACAAGGGATCCTCACGATTACTTGTAGACTGATGAGCTAGATAGATCTAGTGGTCATGGATTGGATTTCATTCGAATAGATAACACATATTTAATAAAAAAATATTGTCTAAAGGTCTTATCTATACACTGTATCTGATTTGAAGGCTTATTTCTAAATGAGTCAATTTCCTTAAAAGGTCCGATAATGAAAAACCTATCTAGACTTATCAATTGATAGAAAATGAATAATTTCCAAAGATAGTTCCCCAATCATATAACAATTTTCCATTCATAGATTAATCATGTTCAAGGGTGTCGTTAGGGACACCATATAAACAAGTGATTATGTTTCGCGAAATAACTGTTCATTGCACTTTGGCATTGGGGTAAATTATTCAAGGTCATTAAATCATAGAATATACTTTAATTGTATATGCACAAAGATATTTATTTAACTATCACGTTAATAATTCTATTATAAGTTAATAATTAGTGATTCAATTGAAATCAAAATCAATATTTATTAATAAAATTTATAATTCAATATTAAAAACAAATTCAAATCACTCATTTGGCGACGTTAGGGGAATTTACCCATTTTTTACATTGAAGAATTGCCAATAGAAAGAACAAACCTACAAAATAATTAGTACAACTTTATAGTAAAATTAAGTTGTTCAAGTCTTATGTATATTCGATGTTTGTTGCATGCGGGAATAAAATCCAGGGAAAGGCTGCAATATGATATGCATATATATATGCTCATTCATTTATGATATATTAAAATAAATGAATGAGCAGAAATCTGATCAGAAATCTCGACGTCGGCTGTGGTCAATCATCGTTGATATGAAATATTACATTTGAATTTAATTGTACATTTTTCATAATATGTCATTATATTATTATTATTTAAATAATATAAGATAATATTTATTTATAATTTTTTTAATAATTGATAATATATATACATTTTACAAATATAATTGCTCGAACTTAAAAACTAAAAAAAATATTTTCTTTAAACCAATGAGTCACTTAATATAATCATGTCATTTATTATATTATTAATCGATACACACTTAATGTATCACATATAAAAACTTTATAAGTTATAATCTCCCACCATTAACAAGCCAGGTGGTACCCCCACATGGACCCACATTCCTATACTGAAACAAAATAAATAAATAACGGTCCAAATTGGAACAGATAATCATCTAATCTAATTCATAATTAATTCCACTAATAACCATACAATGATACAAATCCACCTCACACCTCCCCCTATCAATCTTTTTACAATATTTAAAACCATAACAGATAAAAGTATATTTAAAACATATTAGGACTCGTACATTTTACTTCCTTTTTTTCTTCTCTTAATTTTTTTTTATAAATCATCGGTATTACAAAGTTGAGGGGAACCCTCCTAATCCATTTTGCTCCGTTTGTAAACACTAAAATTTTAACTTCTGATCTTACTTACGGGATCTAGTGTCTCATGTCAGTATACCAATTGATTATTAGTTTCTTCTTTTAATTTAATTCAAATGATTTTTCCCCGAAGAATAAAAACCCACAAAATTTTATACATATATTAAATACAAATATCATATTCGAATATTATGATAAATTTGATATTAAAAATATTTAAATTAATATAAAAATCGAATATAAAGTTTTGAATAAAAAATAAAGATTTAATTCCAACTAACAATATTTAATTTAAAATTATTGATAAAATGAATGGTGGTCTCAGGTGTCACAGGACAAGTACCATCATAAATACTCTGCTTCCCTTATCCATTTCATTAATCACTCTGTACTATTTTGTCATTTTAATTTTCTTTATCCTTTATTGTGTAAAATTATTTTGTTTATTTCCAGCCTTTGAATGAAATCTTCATTTCTTTCTGTTCCCATTAATTTACCCTTTTTGACCTTTTAAACCCTCACATTATTATTATCGACTAAAGTGTCCAGATAATGTATGTGAGAATATTTATTTTTTAAAATAATGCAATCAACCGATTAATTTTTTAAATGGGATGAATGTTATAGGGTTACATATAGTGTTTGAGATCTCTTGACGTCTTCAGAATTAGAACAGATTTCTCGACATTTTCAGCTTTGTTGCTGATGCATGGGAGCTGAAACTTATCTCCTGCTCTGTGAAAGAAACTTGAAGCTGTTGGCAACATTTTTTCAACTCTTGGTGGTCAATTGCACCATTTGAATCCCTATCTACAAAACAAAACACAATACAACCAACTGTCTCAAATCATAACAGAAATGAATTGGGGAAGAAAGGTGGCATACCAAACTGCTCAAAAACAGCTTTGCACTTCCTTAAGTTCTCATCGATTTTAGGGAATTTTAAGATTACGGTGTTGAAGGATTTCATTGCAGTTCCTGCAGATGCCCTTCGCTTCATGGCTTCAACCAGTTTAGCTTCTAGTTTTGTTTCAGATGATCTGTCGTTTTCAGTTTCGCCTCCCATTTCCAACTAAAAAAAACAAATGGAAAATGACGGGGTTTTAAAAGCAAATTTGGATCCTTTTAGTGTTCTCGCCCACATGCAACAGCAGCAGCAAAGCTGAAGACGCCGATAGATCTGCTCCAACCTTGAAGACGCCAATAGATCTCAAGCACTACATGTAACCCTGTAACATTCACCCTATTCGTGGAATTAATTGACTGGCTTCATTATTTTGAGAAATAAACATTCCCACATGCATTATCTGGACACTTTAACCATTATTATCATAAAAAACCACTAAATATTTTACATAAATAACACAGTACCCCAAATCATAAAACAATTGTTTTCTTAATCCTAATTTATCTTTCGACCAAACCATTAATTAATTATTAGATTATAAATAAAGAAGAATAAACTTGGGAGAATGGTGGATGATTGGATATGGTGTTATTTCACCCCATAAGTAGTAAAACAAACTATAGACTATATCGTTATTGAAGATACTATTTTTTATCCATTTTATTATTATTATTATTAATATTAATATTGTTATTATCATTATTAATATTATTATTATTATTATTATTATTATTTAACAAATAATTACAACTGGACCGGCCCAGTTACAAGCCAACTAGAACCGGTCCAGCCAACCAGAAACCCTAAAAGGTTTCAGCTAGGGTTTCTAAACCCTAGCCACACCCAGCCGCCTCTGATGGTTCCAGATCCCAGCCGCCGCCTCACTGCCAAGTGGTCCAATGGCCCACTGCCGACGCCTCCGC